AGCATCGGCGAAAATACCTGGCAGCGTTGGTGGCACCAGGCAACGAGATTCCGCGAAGGACCGGATTCATCATTGCGCAGGAAGGGCTCTAAAGCAAGAACGTACAGCATAGGCGAGAGTGGCAACTCTGACGAATGGAGCAAGACAAGGTGAAAGGTTCCGACCTTATCCCATTTACTTCCACTAGATACCCTGGATCCAGGTGGGAAAGTGCGGCCCAAAGCCAGCGGATGCAAGGACAGTGTTGTGGTAGGATCCACCTAATTTGCATAGTGGAGTACCGACCATATAAATATGGTTGGTACCGGGAAGAGAGGGAGGAATCAAGAGATTCAACCAGAGACTCTGCCCGACTGCGACTCAAGTCAACACATCCTCCAGGAACGGTCTTACCAGGAATATACAAAAGACTATATGTAAATATTGTGTACACTTTCTTGTTTCAATACATTTTGTTCTAAGTACATTTTGTGTTGCATTATTATTCCATGCATTAGTCAAGTTTCAACAGACAGCCTCGAGAAAACGATGGTCCACCCTATCGAATGCCTTGGACTGATCCAAATTGATCAACGCGGCTTCACCCTCGACTTTTTCTATGATGTGGCGAACCATATTAAGTTTGCCCTGAATAGTCTTGCACTTCACAGCACAAGTCTGCTCGGGGTCAATCAGATTAGAGGAGGACAAACTGCAAACGGTTGGCTATGAGCCTCGCCAAAATCTTCACATTTACATTTAGCATAGTCAAAAGGCGAAAATTATCTATCCCATCCCCTCGGCTTTTGTTCTTGCGAAGCAACTCGATGACGCCCGTTGGTGAAATCTTGGGGTATATTTCCATTGCTCAGCCAGTGGTTGAACATCAGTGGCAAACAGTTTGGTTTTCGTCGGAAAAAGGCTCCCAATATTATGTTATTTCGTTTGTTCAAGCATTTCCTGGCTAATGGGAGTAGAACAGTAAATATAAAATTACTCGTAATGCTGTTCCAATATTTAGTCAACACTGCCATATCTGATATATCTGTGAAGGTAGGTTTAGGATTCAAACATATTGGGTTTGTCGTTTACTGCTGATTTCAATTCTGCGAATAAAAAGGTTGCGAAGGTCAAGGTCGACTTGTTTGTTAGTTTGAGCGACAAAATAATTTAAAATTACTGGAGTCCCTTCCCATAGTTATTCTTCGGTACGATAGTAAATAATGACATTCATCAATGTTCGTCAAACACAGAGATTTGTATCCGAAAAAAAAAGGACGGTTTTTCCCATAACACCGCTTTTATTTTAACTACCTTTACTCTTCGGTAATGTTTATAGTTATATGATTACAATTGTAATAAAACATGAAAGTAAATTTATACATTTTTTATTCTTGAGAATTTACAACAAAAATATTAAATATTTATCAGATTAATATTAATATTTATTAGATTGTTTATTTACAAGAATAATTTTAATTTTACAACATTCTAAAAACTATTACAATTAAAAAGAATGCAATATTCGAACTTCATAAAATGGTGAATGCTTTCATATTTATTTATAAATTAGTAAATGATAAATATTCCATTGCATTAGTTTTAATACAATTGTATTAGTTTTTAGAATGCTGCACATATAAAATTATTTTTAGTTAAAATAACAGCGATATCATTTTTGACAGTCTGTTTTTGCGGGCACAAATGTCCATGTTTGCCCAATGCTCGTCCGCCGAGATGGTGTATGACACCCGCGCTCAGACTATTTAGACAGTGTTCCTTTCAGAAAGCTGTGGATCCAAAATCCCTCGTCAATCGTCAAACACTGAAATAGAAGATAGTGAAATTATCATACAACCTTCAGGCATAAAGTTCCAAACATGTATATACCGGAACTTTTAAGATCTTGTAATCATATTTTTGTGTGCGACTCTATTAACTCTCACACCCTGAAGCCATCTTACAGAGGACCCTTGAAAATTCTCAAAATGTATCCCAAGTACTTCACTGTGCATTCAAAATGAAGACCAGTAGTTATCTTTGGGCAGACATTTACATGGCTTGTGGACACTACAATGATTTTTCCTTGCCGAATGCACCAAAGCAGACTGTAACGTTGTCTGATTTCCATGTTGGATAACGTAAACATCTATTATTGATAACTTTTCTTTTTAACTACTTGTGAATAGAACCTTTTTACTTATTTAGTGTTTACAGTGTTTACTCATTTTGTGTATTGGCTTTCAATCTCAAGTGAAACTGTTTTTAGGTTGGGGTGGGGGAGCTTGTAGCGTTGAAAATCTTGGTTGTCGATCCTTGAATGTTTACTCCTATATTATAAATCATTCCATTATTATTGCTTGCAGGCGGGGGTAAAATAGAGCCGTAGTAGATAAACTGAATTTGAGTGAAAGAGACATTGAAGAATCCTGATATGTAATGTGCCATATGACCAGTGATAGGGAAAAACTGATTAATAGTGTTGAGCTGAATATACATTTCATTAGAAATACTGAAAAATAAGAAAATCGTTTAAGATACAGTCACGAAAGAAAACAAATTGATGCTGAATTCCCACTATTAATGGCACCGGATCGGTTCCAAAGCGGATTCCAGGAGTTGTTTTTTTGACTGGGCAGTGTTATTTCTATTTTTATGTGTTTAGAAAATATGTCTGATGAAATTCAAATTCTTGGAATTTGTGATCTCTTTGCATTGAAATTTTGCTTCTACAAAAAATTGCAGTGTGTGTGTGTGTGTGTGTGTGTATTGTCATAGATATAAAAAAAGTGGAAGAGATAAGCAAAGTTTCTAGACTTAATTAATCAGGGAAAGGAAAATTCGGAATTTCAAACGAAGGGAAACCCCATTACTATCTTTCTCATGAAGGCATAGCAATTCCCAGATAATTTTTAAAAATAGAATCTGTCAAGTCATGACTGGCTACGGGCTGACCAACACACACACAAACACACACACGCACATACATACATATATACATAGGGGAGACTAGATGGATTCATACCTTTTCGAAGGGTATTTGCACGAAAGTGAATGTAACGAACCTGACTAGAATTCGAACTTTGCTCTCCACTTTCTCATTTTGAACCTTTATCCATTACAGCCACACCGCATATTATTCTGGTACCATTTCAAATTATCACGGTTTTAAATTCCTTGCCTCTGATTGGTGGGAAAATCCAAAGGATGAATTTTCCTTCTCAAAACTTTTTTCGTAGAAGATTCAAATTTTATATCGACGCAAAAACAGACTCAAATCAAGGCATACCAAGTAAAGGCTATCCGAATATAAACTCTTCATTTTTAGGCAGGGGTGTGGTAACATATACACAGTACATAGAAATCATGCGACAAGCATTCATTGGTTGATCTCCTCAAAACTAACTTGCTGATTGGTCAATTCTGACCAATCAAACCGCCTGCACGCGGCAAGTCTGTTTTCCCGCTCAATATGCTCTGAGCCAGTCACGTAATACACCATCTTACGAGTGGTTCTCTCTCTCTTTTTCGTCACTCTTGCGTCTCATTCTTTGCTGCTAAAATGTGACCTTCAAGAACTCTCGTCTTGACCATGCGGTCAGACGTTAAAGAACATTACCATTTCACGCAAGTACGAACTCTGAAATCTCTTCTGAACTCTTACCAACTTTATCCAATACACAATTCCTAACATGCAACAGGAACTTGTTCTTCTAAACTACAGTTTAATAATTAATTCACTTTATGAGCTCAAGTACAAATATTTCCAAATCTAAGAGACATAACTCTATCAAACCTTCAGCTTATATGCATGTACACCAAACACTAATAAATTCAATTGTTAAGTTTTGAATCATTACATTCTGTTTTGTATTTTATACTATGTGCTATTTTATGTCAAATATAAATTGCAATGTGCATGCCACATTGGATAGTAACCTTCAGCGTTTTTGCTTTCCTTAATCACGCCTTTTCTAGTCAAAAGATAAATATATGTAGTACATACCCCTACATAATGGTGCCAATCCGCTACAGGGGCATAGAATTGTAAAATTTCACATAAATTTCTTTATATTTTCTATTCTAGTAAATGTTGCGAGTGAACAAGCATTACTAATTTAATAGTAATATTGAGCAACTGATTTAAAAAGTTATTAAAGCTTATTCACTCACAAAAATGACTGAAATCTATTACAGAGTTCGGCAGAAACACCTGGTAAGAAGACTTTGATTGAGACACTATTGCCACTACTATTATGTAGGGGGTATTTTTGCCGCACCCTGTATAATGCGCAAAGCTTGTGTTTTTGCATCTGCTAGAAACACTGAAAATTAAATATATATTCAAATGTAGTTGCCTGTTCATATGTGTGCAAATATTTAAGTAAATTGCAAATCTTTCTAACAAAGAAACGGCTGATGGTGTAGCAATAGAAAAGGATTTGATTCGCATAACAGCAAATATTATCACTAGTAAAACAAAATCAACTAAAATCTTTTATCCGCGTAAAGAAAAATTATCAATATAGTTTTATAAATAACTGGTAATTTACTCTCATTTGTTTCAACAATAATTTTTGTGAATTTTCTATTCTTCGTAAGATATCTTGAAGCAAACAGATTTTTGAATGATTTGATTTAAATTTTAAATTAAATCTGCAGTTAAATTTCCACATTTGATTTTGAAAGCAGAAACAAAATCTCAAATCTGATTTTTTTTTAAATTGCATCTAGACCTAAATTTTAATAGTCACTGAATAACTCAGTTCTAAGAAAGAAAAAATCAAAAGAAAATAAATAAAAAAAAAAAAAAATGTAAGAAATAAAAGAAGAGAAAAATAGATGCCCTAGCCTTTTTTTTCTGAGGTGAACTTATTAACGTTCTCACCGTGATAGAATTTAGTTGCACACCGTTTTGGCGTATTTTTTAAAACAATTACGTGTTTCGTGAAGCGAATTTTTCGGAATTTTTATTCTCTGTGAACTGTTTAAATATTTATATTTTTTCTTTAGAAAAAAATATGGAAGGATCTGTATCTATCCACAGACATACAGCAGCACCGTTCCACGAATATTTACTTCAGGGAAGCGTTGTTGACAATTCATGTGATGTTCTTTTAAATCGACTTCGTGGTTTGTGTGACAATGCCGAAAACGATTATGAAAGTTTTCATGATCACGAATTAGTTTTTGCTTTACGTAAGTTCATTCCTTTTTTTTTTTTTTAATTTTCACCTGGAATTATATCAATAAAAATGTTTACTACTTTTAGTTTTTAACTCGTTGCTAGTACACTTAAACGAGTTTTGTAACATTTTACATTTATTAATGTTTTTTTTTAAATCTTGATTCGTCTTTCTTTTTTTTTTTTTTTTTTTAAATTTAAAACTGGTGTAAGAAATAACATATTTCCATCATAATCCACCGAATTTTTATGAATTACACTCACTGTTAGTGTTTGTACTAGAGAGTGTTTTTAGCTATTGTTGAAACAATAAAATAAAAATAAAAAATCGTAATTCGAACAGCAAAAAAAAAAAAAAAAAAACGGAACATGTGCTATATGTATGTGTTTGTAATAAAAATATAAAAAAAAATCTCTTGCACGGTAGATTTTATCTTCAAAATAGTTAATTTTTTTCATTTAAAGAAAAAAATAACTGAAAATAAATTGTTGTCTTGCTAGAGATAAAAAAAATTATTTCATTTTTAGGTTGAGGCAGATGAATATTATACATTTATTTCCTTACTATGTTTTATCACATTTTTAGCACATTCATCGACTAAACAATAATCAAAATGATACGGCTGTATACCCTGAAATAATTATTATTAATTGTTAAATATTTGTAAGTTGCATAAAACTGATCATGTTTTTTTTACGCAAATTAGAATTGTTTCCCCTTGTTTTGATTTATAACACTTTTTTTTTTTTTTTTTTTTTTTTTACGCATTTTAGGTTCTTCAACGGCCCAGAACAATCACAATCAGCAAGTGTACTTTAGAGTCAGACATAGTCTGAAGGCACCAAATGCACCTTGGTCAGTCTTCTTATTTTATACATTTTTTTTTAAAATTTAGCATTTCTTGTAACAACAAGAGTAAATCAACCAATAAGGAAAGGTTTTATTACAAATTAAGCGAAATTAGTTAATATTTTTACTGTAACAAAAGTAAAACTAACTATCTTTATAGTCTAATAAATTTTACAATACGTGTTCCATTCCATACTTATCACTGATGATATAAAATGTCAGATATAGATTGTTATGGTCGAGTCTTCAACTTCAACGTTATTTTCAATATCAGAAGTAACATTGTGGAAAAAAAATATGAAAATAAAATATATAATAATTCCAATTAAAAAACGGCATTTCCTTTCCTTTAAAGCCCTTATCACTTTCTCTCTCTCTCTCTCTCTCTCACAATGAGAAAGCAACCTTCAAAACGAGGAAGAAGAAAAGATGCTGCAAAATGGTAGAAGATTGGTAGTCCATGAGTCTAGCTAGCCATTGTGGCTAGAAATCTACCAAAATAAGAGCGGCTCCACGTATAACTTTCCTATAAAAAAAAAAAAAATGAAAAAATAACATTGTAAAATAAAAGAATTTCAGCCAATCAAAAAAAAACAGACTTTTGAATTGATGTTAGCTGAAACCAAGCTTTGTACCAGTGGTCTGGAGTCCTTTTTTAAAGGATATAAACACAGTTAAGAAGAGGCAAAGACAGAGAAGAGACTGCCAGGGAAACCAGCCAAGTCTATTGTGTGAAGAAACTAAGTCTGCTTAAGACATTTTTCCCCCTCGTCTGAAGGCTGACAAATATACTGACACTTCACCTATTTCCAAAGTAATTACACTTCTAACAACAGCCAACAAGATGATGACTTCTACCAAAATATGCCTATCAATTATTGATACCAGGCTGAATGAACTTTCGCTACCCAGAGTTACAAAGGATTTGCTCCAATTGAAGTCAAATAAATAAATATATATTATTTGTTTATAACTTTGATTCTATTTGTTTATTCCTGACATTTCCAATAAATATTGATAAGAACTTCTGGCCCTTTACTACATCATCATCACTTAAAAATGGAGATAATTGCTCATACATTTTTCTTTGAAACTCTTTGAAAATTCTAAAACTGAACTGAAATATGATTTGGGGAATTTCAGATTTTCACTTTTCTTTCACAAAGTATCTTGTATTATAATTTCTTCTTTAAATTTCTGCAAACATGAAAAATCTTTTTAGATTTTTTTCTTTTTGTATCCAGGCATCTCCGTTATGTTGGCCAAGCTGAGGTGGGAGATAAAACACGTCACACACTTGTCAGAACATATGTCGATGTCAGTACATCAGACAATGTTGTTACTTTTCTAAACGAAATGGGATTCAGGTGAAGCAATTGTTCTTTTCTTTTTTATTTGATTTTATTCAATTATGTAGATATTTTTCATGTTTCAATGTCAGTGTCTTTATAATCAAACACAGATAAATCTTGTTTTTTAAAAAGCATAATTTCATAAAATCTACATTTACACATGAATAAAGCATACCTCTGTATAAATTTTCTTAGTGTACCTCATTGATCTTAGAATAAATAACTTTTTCTGGATGCATTGTTTTTTGAACAGAAATAAACCACTGCTTCCATTTTTTTATTATTCTTATTCTATTCTTTGAAAACAACAAAAACATTCTTATTTTGATCATTTTATGTTATTAATATAATAAAAAATTCTGGTTTCATATTGAAACCAGAATTTTTTTATTTTGCTGATGAAAGTCAGATTATAAAAAAATATTTTTCTAATCTCTGATAAAATGTCTAACCATGATATGTGGTTAGTTTGTATATTATGTCAGCAAACTTTTTGGGATTTAGGGCCAAAAATGCATGCGTATCTCTCTCTCTCTCTCTCTCTCTCTCTATATATATATATATATATATATATATATATATATATATATATATATATATATTTAAACCATATTAAATTAGATTTTATTATAAAAAACAAACTCTAATACAGTTGTTTAGCAGTAGCATTCACAGAATTAATGAGATTATGAAATTTAGCATATTTCATGTTTGAATATTGTATAATTATGTTGTGGCAAATGATAGAATTGTCAGACAAAAGATTATAGAAGCATAATATACTTTCTTCATATGGAAGGCATTTGTAAAAGTCAGTTAACTTTTCTTCTTTGTACTTGCCTTTCAACATGTCCTTTTCTGCAGGTTGATCACTTCTAATTGTAGATCTGATTGAAGAGTCTCAGTAATGTATAAACAAGACATTTTTTTAAATTTTATGCATAATAATCTTAAAAGAAAACTAATATAAAATAATGATTATTTCAGAATAATAGCCTATTTCCTCTATAAAGTTGCATTTGATCCATGTGCCATCATCTGTTGAATACTGATCTAGATAATTTCTATTTTAATATTTGTTGGGAATAATAACCTTTTTTAATTTTTCTTGCAGGTTGGACTATGAATATGTGATCAAGGGCTATTTTTTCCACAAGGGAAGAATGAAAGTGACTGTATCAAAGATCTTCAGAGTATGTTTTGTTCAACATTTAAAAAAGGAAAACAGTGATATTTGTTTTGTACAGATATGTTTCCTTGTGTGAATAATGAATATTGTGTAAAGGCACTAACACTTAACACTTTTAGGTCATATCTTTGAATATATAAATACAATTTTTTCAGTAAGTTTGAGATATCAGTTGTATGATATAATTTTGGTGTCATTCCTTAAAACGGAGTATAACCTTTTTGTTAAATAAAATCTGTTCTTTAAAAACTGAAAACCTTTTTCTATGCTAACAAAAGTCTTCACATGAAAAAAACTTTGCAGAATCTAAATTTACTGTTATCAAAAGTGACTTTATAACAAATTTTGCCAACTTCTGCTAAACAAAGATTAAGTCTGTCTATATTTCTAAGATGAGGTATTATGTACACTATTTACATTATTCAGATTATTGTCCTCATTGTTACCATATTTATGACAATGTTTTGGCCATTGTATGCCCCAGCCTTCTTCAGGTGGTTGGAATGTTGAACTGAACCCTTTATTTCGCTCGCTGGGGTAGACTTTTCTAGTTCTATGTGCCATGCCAGTTATCAGTTATCTCCTGTCAATTCCCCTCTCCAAGTTCTCCACCGCATTAACCAGGTATTGAACTCACACTCTTTGAGTCCTGTCACTGGATCTAACTAATGCCTTTATCCACTGTGTCATGTGTCTTTGAGGACATCTGTGTATGAATTTCTGGGTAATATAAACCTATCTTCAGCAACCATTTTTTCCCAGTGCTCATATTACAATTTTTGCAGTTATTATTACATGTTTTTACCAGAGCTCATATTGCAATTTTCATTGTTATTATTGATTTTCTCTGGCACTCCTTATTACTGGTTCCTATATTGTATTTATTTCTATGCTTGGTCGGCTCAGGAGATTTTTGTGGCCTAGCATATGTGCTGATTCCTTAAGTTTACGAATTTTCCAATGATGTTATTTGTCTATGATCTCAACCTGATCCCACAGAGAGTGGTGATCTCCCTTTTCACTCCATATGTGGTCAGCCACACTTGATTTTTCCACTTCCCTTTGTGTTACAGCTTTCTGGTGTTCTTGAAGCCTTACCTTAAGGGGGCGGCCTGTCTCCCCTTTATATTTCTTTCTGCAGCTGCAAAGAATGGTGTACACACAGTCTTTAGTCATGTTCTCCTCTATGGGAGGTCTTACTTGGGAGAGATATCTGCTCAGTGTCATCCAGCTTTTGAAGGTTGTCCTGATGTTATATGGACTGCAGATCCTTTGTATTTTCTCCGATAAATAAGGCAGGCAGACTGTTTTCTGAGTGTTGTTGTCCTCCCCTTGTATCATCCTATCCCAGTTTATTGGGGCTGCAGCCGTGTGCCCAGGGTAGTTGTTATGTTGTAGGGTACTACTTATACTGACCAATTCTTTATCTAATGTCTCTGGGTTGCTACTTATGACTTTTGCTCGATGTTGTAAGCAGCAGATTATCCCTTACTTTACGCTGTATGAACTAAGTTATTTTTCTTTTCCTCATTTTCCAACTATTTAAAAAAAATGAGAGAACCTTTTTGATCAGAATAATTCTGCTCAAATTTTTTCTTTGTGATAATTCTGCCTCCTGTTCATTTTAATAATTTATGAAATATTAATTATGTTGAATTTTCATTTTTCCCTTTACATGAATTAGAATGTTGGGAATTGATAAAAACTGTAGGCTCTTATTTGCAAGAGATTGTTTATGTGTTATCATGTTGGAAGAAATATTTAGGGGCTTCAAATTAATTCCATGTAAAGTGTTTAACAGATATATTTCCTTTGTAGTTCATAATCATTCTTGTTGACTTTATTGTTAATTTTTGTTTCATTTTAATTTTTTTGCTTTGTTTTCTATTTTATTATTGTTAATCAAGAAGCATGAATCAGAATGAGTAAGTTTGAACCTGGATCCATTGACCTTAGTTACTTCTTTGATTAAGATTGAAAAAGATTACTACAATAAGAAAAGAAAGATGTCAAAAATGAATAATTACAATGATTACAAAATCATTATGCACGGTATATTTTTTCATCTTAAATTTTATTAGATTTAAAAAATTTTTTTTAATCATTATCACTCCATAAGGCAGTAAAACTACTAAGACATAAGGGGTTACAGGGTGTGAAAGAATTAGGAACAGAAACCTTAATAATGGGTGGGAAGAGAAAAGATTAATCAGGTGAACAGTAGATAGCAATTGACATTGCATTTCAATTTTTGCAGATTAAAGTTGACCGGAAAGCTTGGAGCCAGAAGGGAGTTCCACAAGAGAGAAGTACAAGAAAATAAACTGTTAACATAGAATTTATGCTTACATCTAGCCAGCTCAACTGTAAGTTGATGAGATCTTGACACCAGTCTAGTACTGTGCTTAAATTCAAAATGTCTAGGTGCCATAGTGAAGAGCTCATCTGAAAGTATTTATAGAAAAGACACAGACAATACACAGTGATGGGAAAGTGACTGAAGCTGAGCTGTCAGATCAAAACCAATAATATTCCTGATTCTTCTTTGATCTTATCAAAGGGCTGAATTTAAATAGTAGAGGCACAGGACCATATGTGGCAGCAATACTCTAAGCATGGACAAATGGTAGACCTATAGATATGCAAGATAGATTCTAGAGAGAAAAATTGTTTCACACAATACAGTGAACCATCTTTCTTAACAGCTGACCTAGCAAGATTCAATAGTCTTTCCACTTCATGGCAGTCGAGAACGTGTTTACTTTCAAATAAATTCCATTTATCAAATAAGTTTTTTTTAAGTGACTTTGAAACCCGTGACTTAAATTTGAACCCAGATAGCTGATCTTTGTTTTGTTTAAATGTTTACCTGCTGTGATCTAAATACTTTACTTCTGAATGAGAATTTTTTTTTCTTTTCCAATTTCAGATGTTGCAGCCAAACAATGTAGAGAACTTGGAACCACTGTCTTTGTCTTATTTAGTAGAGCTGACTGTGGTTGCTCCTGCTGGGCAGGAACTAATTCAAGATGACATGAAAAATTTTGCTGAACAGTTGAAACCGTATCCTTTTATTTAAAATAGATATCAGTTTATTTTATGATTTATTTGGAATCTTAAGATGATATTTAATGTATGAAATTGTCACTGCTCTGTATTCTTTTGTTTGGTAATTTTCAACTACTTTAAACATTGTTGCTTTATCATTGACTTAATTTTTAATACGAGTTGAACATTTTCATTTGGTATCTTACAATTTAAAAAAATAACAAACTCTGTTGTAAGTAATTTAAAATTTCCCTTAATATAAAAAGGGAAGACAAGTATTTTAAGACTAAATAGCAGATACAATAATTTTTATTTTAGTGTCCTAAATATAATTTTGAAAAAGTTATGACTACAAGAATTATTACTCAGAAGAAATGCAAAATGACTAACACAAAGTATAGACTACTACATTATTCTATAGTTTTTATATTTTTTTCAGACACTACAAAGAAAAGCTTTTATAAAATATCCTTTTTGTTAAATGTTTCAGTTAATCTTAAAATGGGTTCATCATTATTTTGCTGTTGGAACCATTTTCATTATCACTTTCCTTAACATTTTTTTTCTCAGGTTGGTACAACTGGAAAAAATTGACCATCGCCGAATTACCATGATGTGAATTATTTGTTTACTTGGATGTTTTTGTCAGAAATCTTTGATCTTGGAAGCTGATCTTTTGAAAGAACATTAGAAAATCATCTCTCAATAAATAAAAAAAACATGCTACTGCATATTTTCTCTTTATATAATTCCATGTGTTTGTTTTATTAATCAGCATTAAGATTTGACCATGTTGTTCAAAAGATTATTTTCTTCATTTTTTTCATTTTTTTTCAAGTCTATGTCCACTGTAAATGTATTTTTGTATAAAGCATTATTATGAATGAAATTTATATCAAAAGTTTTTCTATAGAAATGGCACATAAATGTCTTCAGTACAGAAATTAAAATTACCTGTAGTGGAAATATTTATGTTACAGAAATGCAATGATACCTTTTCTAGAATCTTCACAATGTAATAATAAATATAAAATAAATTTCATTATAATAAAAATTTTGAATGTTTCTGGGTATTTTAGAAAGTGTATAGACTTTTTCTTTGTTATGCTACTTCAAAAACTCATCTACATGTATAACTTAAACATTAAATTCTTTTTTGTTGGTGAAAATCCTGTGCCTATTCACAGTGTATTTAAAAAAAAGAATGTTTTGATTTATTTTGGAAAATGGAACATTTTTGATAACTGCATTAAATAATATGCATGTCCTAAATAATGTTCATGTTACAACATAACTTATTGGATGAGATTATTAGGCTAATCTTAAGAATGTGTTAAAATTTTACCAAAAGCTTATCTTTTAATCTTGTAATAAAAAGCAACAGAAATGAAGAAAAGACTGGTGAAAAATTATTAACTGCCTCATCTAAGAAATTTGTTGATCTAATTTCTGTCTGAATTTCTGGAACCTAAAGTTATTTACATTTGGACTAATGTCCATATCTTTGTTGCTTGTCACAGTGTTTTGGGTGTTGTACTCAGGCATCTATCAATTTCAAACTGAACCCTTTATTTAATTTAAAGTGGTATATGTAATACTATTGATGTAAAATATGAGACAAGATGGCAGCAGCCAGAGAAATATAGCTATATATCTTCAGTGACATCTGATGGTAAAATCTTTCTCACCAATCCATTCAAAGCACAGCCCTACAAAATATGTCCTCCCCACAGATGTGAGTTCAAATCTTGTTAAAGGCTTATTTTTTATTCAGTTGTTTATTTAATGGTCATAAAATGAAAATTTGGCAGTTGTAATTTAAATTTAGAAATAAAGAAATGAGTACTCAACTGCTATGTAATATCTTATTCCCTATATGACATTGAATGTTGAGCAATTTCTTCATAGGTAGAGAATTAAAGCAACAGTGATATGTGTTTGCCAACAAATGCTAAGAATATCATGGACAAAACATTTAAACAATGAGGGAGTTTTAAGGTGAATAGAAACTATAAAGTGGTGTTAACAATTTTGGGGGGGATATAATGAATGGAGAATTTAACAGTTTCAAGGCAAAAAAAGAAACTGAATAACGGACTTTAAGTGAAAAGTGGGGAAAGAACAATGACGATAATGATGTTTCATCTGCATTAGCTGATAATTTGCCATTGATGTACTTAAAAGATAAAAGCATATTAATTGATTATCACATAACTGCAGGTAGACAATCACGTGTCTTCAAATACCTTACGGACACTGTACACATATCTGTCCATATATTAAGATGGAGGAAATAAACATTAAAAAATACTTTTAAAAATTATTGACTATAGTAAAAAAGAATATTTATATTCTATGTAACAAAGAAAAGTATAATTATGCATTAAATAAAATTTATATTTTATTTAAAAGTAATTAGAGAAAATTTGCTTATCCAATTTAGTCTTTAATGGATTAATATATATAAATATATTTGCCATTTTTTTTTCTTTTCTAATCAGTTTCACCCCATAAAAGGCTGGTAAAGCTGCACAAAGGGTACAGGGTGTGGAAAAATTAGGAACAAAAACATTAATAATGAACAAGAAGAGAAAAAATGAGTAATCAAGAGGACAGTAGATAGCAATTGGCATTGCATTTCAATTTTCTGGAAAGCATGGAGCCAGAAGAGAGTTTCACAAGTGAGAAGGATGAGAAAAAAAAAATTAGCATAGAATTTATGGTTACATCTAAACAGCTCAACTGAAAATTGATGAGATCTTGATGCCATGTACTTAAATTCAAAAAGTCTAGGTACCATAGCAAAGAGCTCATCTAAACAATTACCATGTAAGCATTTATAGAAAAGACAGAGAGGCAACCTTATGGCAGTGGGAAAGTGACTGAAGCCAAGTCACCAGATCAGGACCAGTAATATTGCAGATTCAGACCGGATGTGGCAGAAATAAGCATGGATATTATATATGATAGATTCTGGAGAGAAAAATTGTCTTGCATGACACAAGTGAACCAACTTTCTTAGCAGCTGACCTGGCAATGTATTCAATATAGTTTTTCCACTTCATCTCAGCTGAGAATCTTAGTCCAAGAAGGCACAACAAGTCACTTTCCTAGAGGTCAGTATCAGCCATGCTGATGGAAGGCAGAGAGAGTCCTCCCAGATGATTAATGAACAGAAGTTGAGTTTTGGAGATGTTAAAATTTGACAAGCCATCTTTTTCCCCAGTTAACAATGGACATCAGCTGTCATTTTGACCTTGTTGAACTGGTCAGTATTACTATCAAGGCAGGAGTAAATGGTTGTGTCATCAGTGTAGATATCAAATGTCATCAGGAATTTCATTAACAAAAATTAAAAACAGAGTGGGACCAAAAATGGATCCTTGGGGGACATCCGTGTTAGTACAAAAATATATAGATGAGTGGCTGTTCAGAATAAAATTCATTTTGTGATTTGATTGGAAAAAGTGGGTCAGCTAAAAACATTGGCTGGAGATACAGTAACTTTTCAACTAGTGAGGAAGACCTGTATGCCAAATTCTGTTGAAAGCTTTTGAGATATCTAAAGCAACAGCACAAGTTATACCATTCTCAACAAAGCTACAGCCTGGACTTCACAGTTTTTATCTAAAGCATGATAGACTCTTTCCGCAATTATCGTCAGTACATCAGCAGTTGACCTGGAGAAACAAAAGCCATATTGCTAGTTTGAAAAAAGGCCCTGCAATGATTAGGACCTCTAAGAATTTCCCCAAAACCGGTAGAAGGCTAATAGGCTGATAGTTGGAAGGGTCAGATGGTTCACCCGAGTTCTTAAAAACTGGAACAATAATTTCAAGCAGGCTGGAGAGCAGGAGGCAGTGAGTCATTTATTAAACAGTTTAGAGAACAGGAACCAGTTTGGGAGCACACTTCTTAATGACTAGTACAGGGATGCCATCAGGTCCACATTCTTTGTGAGGATCTAGTTTAGAGATGATAGTAGAAACTATGGACATGGACTTCTATTTTAAATTCCTTACTACTACTAAATTCCTTACTACTAAGGATTTAATACAATAATTGAATTTTTTCACTAATTTTTCTTAGTTAAATAACATTATTATTATTCCAATGTAAATTATTTTCTTAGTTAAATTATTATTATTACAATGTAACTTATGTTATATAATCTGAGTAAATGTAAAACTTGCAAACTGTGATTGTATAAAAACTTGAAGAATTTGAAGAGGCTGTTCTATAATTGAAGTGAAGTGCAACATTCAACAAATAAATTCCTGTAGACATTGACCCACAAACAACTGTTTAGAAATTGGTTAGTTTATTTTATTCAATTCTTTAGATGGAGCATTTTCTATTTTATCATTTATTACTCATTTTATGTCCACACTCTGTTTCCACTCTTTGAGTGTAAACAGTGCAAAATTACAAATAAAGAAACTGCCTCTAATAAGACTTGAACATAACCATATTTCTATAGCTGATCTTTTGTAGACATGGCCTTAATCAATTTGGCCATCTTGATTAAGTTAAGATCACTCTATAGTCATAGTACTTTGTGAGCTACATGTACGCCTTTGATTTTGAAAATTACAAAATAAGTTTCATTAAATCCTTTTTTTGCAGGCATAGTATAGAACATATCACATGGCAGAAAGGAAAAATGATAACCAATCAAACTGTTTTACTTTGGTGTTGAAATGTCATAAGCTTTGAGCCTCTTAAACGCAATATAAAAAAAGTCTGTCAACAAAAAATTGGGTAGATGTACTTGCTTTCAACAGAACTTTATTTCCAGCTACAAGTAACTTCAAATGAAGAGTCTTCAATCGTCTACCCCACTTCAATCAACTACAGTAAAGTTCACAGCAAAGTTCAATGTATTCCTCCCTCACTGTAAATCTTCTCTCTCTGTAAATCTTTCATGCATTTACATACTGACTTTTATTTGAACTCAGATATAGGAAAAGAACATTTATTTCACACAAAAATATTTCTTTATCAACCAACTTTAAAATTACATGAAACTTAATTTCTTTTTTTATATCTCAATTGATTTTGTTTGAATCATACATATTGAATTATTGTTAATTTTATTCTATTCATCTCTGTATGTATATTGATTTATTTACAAATGGTAAACATTTTTATAAAAATCAGTTTATGGATAATTTAAATAAATATTAACTGCTGACTTGAAATAAAAAACAACCATTACAAGATGGAGTAAAAAGGTGACAATAATAGTAAAAACATTCCATTGAAAAAATTTAAAAAATAATTATTATTATTACAAGATAGAAAAACAAAGATGGCAGAGAATGAAATGAAAGTATATCAGAAAAGGATAGATTATAATGGATAGATTATAATAGATTTTTATGGCCGAAACGTTTTACGTAACATCCATGAAAAACAAGCAACCAAAGTGTAGAAAGCAATTTTACTAAATTTTGATTTCCAATTTTTCACTGTCTTCACATTTAATTGAAGAGTGAATCAACCCAATGTGATTTGATGAAAAGTAGCAATAATAATAATAATAAAGAAAAAAAAAACAGAATAAAATTAGTCATAAAGCAATAAAGCTATTAGTTTTATACTGACTAGTAATTTTAC